AGCAGCAGTAGTAGTAGTGGTAGTAGTAGTAGTAGTAGTAGTAGTAGTAGTAGTAGTAGTAGTAGTAGTAGTAAGTAGTAGTAGCAGTAGCAGTAGCAGTAGCAGTAGCTGTAGCAGTAGCAGTAGCAGTAGTATTTTGTTTATGGGTCACAAACCCGCTAGCAAATGAGATTTCATGCTTAATTGTATTCATGATGGTCATTTAGGCATGGAGAAGTCGAAGGCCAGGGCCAGAGAGCTGTTTTACTGGCCCGGTGTTAGTTCAGATATTGAGTCCCTGATATCAAAATGTTCTGCATGCGCAAAATTCAAAAGAAAGAACCAGCGCGAGCCAATGATTCCTCATCAGTTGCCCAAGGAACCGTTTAATAAGGTCGGCGCTGATATTTTTCATTACGCTGGTAATGATCACTTAATCGGTTTGGACTATTATTCAAAGTATCCGGAGGCTGTTACGCTACGCAACAATTACTGCTAAAGATGTGATTTGCAAACTAAAATCGATATTTGCAAGACATGGCATTCCGGAAAAATTCATAAGCCATAACATGCCTTTCGCCAGCTGGGAAATGAAGCAGTTCGCAAAGTCATGGGATATAAAATTGATCACGTCAAGCCCCACTTAGGCCCAAAGCAATGGTCAAGCAGAGCGATGTATTCAGACTGTTAAGCATTGTTAAGGAAGGCTACAGACGACTTTTGACGGCGATTTCATTTAGCTTTGTTGGCTCACCGCGACGCCCCGTTGGGCGGTATTGGTTTAATAGGAGGCTCCGAACGCGAATTCCAGCAACGCGACCGACCTACTATCGTATCCAATGCTCATGAGTCGCTGATCGCTAGTTAAGACAAGCAAATGCGATACTTGACAATCGAGGAACACGTTCAACCATTAAGGGATGGAGAAGTTGTTCGTCTGAGTAAAGGTCGACAGTGGATACCAGCAAGAGTGATTTCTAAACACGTTACTCCGAGATCATACGTAGTCGCTACAGAAAATGGTCAAACCTACAGGCGCAATCTCCGAGACCTAAATAAGTCGCACGACAAAACGATAAATTTTCAGGGAGACGTTGGTGATGTCCCCGCGATTCAAGTTGGTGATGTACCCGCGACTCAAGCCGAACCCGCTCAGTCAGAGCAACAGGCGGGGGTTGTGCACACGACACGACCGACACCGAATAGGCGAATGCCTAAACGTTTTGATGATTTTGTTTTGTACAAATAATTAGGGCCGATTTGGTCATAAATTTCCAATGTTGTTTTCTTCTTTTTAAACGAAGGGAGATGTCACATATCCATATCAATATTAGATCATAATACTAGATCATAATACATAGGCCTATGCATGATACAGTATTCCATATTAGGTATTATTATATCCCATGATGCATTGCATGATGAATAAAGTTTAGTTTCCATCTTGATCTCCAACCTGGTCTCTCGTGTGTTATTTCTGTGTGCAATTAATAGTTGCATATCTTGGTTCATTAAAGTTTATAGTACAGGTAGGTCCAATAAAATAAATAAACAAAGAAACCCGGAAGAACACATTGCAGCAATGTTAATGTTTTCTCATTTACTTACCCTTTGTAAAACGAATGGTTTAAGTACGATATCTTGAACGACATTTTCGGCTCTGGAGTATCATTTATTATTGTATATACGGGTACCTCTCCAACCCAGATATGAGCTTCGTTTCCAAACTGCATTCCAAGTCCTAGCCAGTGTTCTGATCCATTGACCACCGCGTCCGTATCATCCAGTCGAACGTCCACTTCTAAAGCCAGGATGTTTTTCGCCGGATCTGGATCACTCATAGTAATTGATCCTTCGATCTCTGTCACCGACCAGTCTTTCAAGATACCGAATACGTCGTCATTGGCAATGTACCGTGTCTGTGGAGCGTAGTAACAGAACTCTGTCGAGTAAGTACAGGACAGTGTACTGCTTACAGATGAAATCTCAACTTTAGATATGCTCCACTGCTCGCTTGTCTTGTTGGTTGTGAAATTGTACGGCAATGTAACTTCGATCGTAGGATCTGCAGTGCCTTGTGGAAATTCAACGACAAGGTTAAGGTGCACGATTTGGCCTACGTTAACATAGACTGTCCCGTCTGCTGATTGTTCAGTGATGTTCATGATAAAATACGGTAATTTACTGAAGACAGTATTAGCAGCGGCCTCTGCAGTACTTGTTGTTCCCGATTCGCTTATAGTTGCATTGACAGTCACTCTCAATATTACTCCTGGTTTCACATTGTCTAGAAATAAAGAAGAATTATTTTGCCGATGAATAAAAAAAATAAAACCGAGAGAGAATAAAACTAATGAAACCCTGTTCAATGTAACTACAGTTACTACAGTTGTTTTCTTCGTTTGTTTGTTTGTTTTTTTTTTTTTTTCTTGGGGTGGAGGGCTGTTTTTTGTTTTTGTTTTCTCCGGTGGGGGAGATTTCATTTTTGGAGAGCCCATTTAAATCAGCATATATATATACTGTCTCTTATACACATCTAGATGTGTATAAGAGACAGGTCGTGCCCAACGTAGGCGGCGCCCTTCTTTTTAACCATGCAAGTTTCCTATACTTCGTGCCCAACGTACAGGGCGCCCTTCTGTTGCTAAGTATATCCAGACGCAAAAGGCGCCCTTCCTTTTC